GTAGTAGTAGTAGTTAGTTGTAGTAGTAGTAATAGTAGTAGTAGTAGTAGTAGTAGCAGCGGCAGCAGCAGCAGCAGCAGCAGAAGCAGTAGGAGCAGCAGCAGCAGGTGTAGTAGTAGTGGTGGTGGTGGTAGTAGTAGTAGTAGGAGGAGTAGGTGACATCAGCCCCGACACTTGCAGCCGCTGACTTCCGAAGCCGTCCAGAGGCTGCCTTCTGCCATCCTTTGGCAGTCAGTTCCAATTGGGGAGTGTGCATGAAGTCATGTTCAGGACCATTCTATAATTTAGGGTGTATATGTTGCTGATTTGGAAAATTTGTTCAGACTCTGCGAAACTTCCCCTGAACCACTGTACCATTTAACCCAACAACGAGCGTTCAATGCTGTGCTTTGAGGCCGCCTGCTTAAGGGCTTGGGCTGACCTGCAGGTCACTCAACAGACATGACCCACGCTGTCGTGTCTGCCATGAAACTTCTTGCACAAACTCCGGCGAGGCGTGCAGATCCGTGTAACCGTGATTTCGGAGCTCAAGCTTCAACGAAGCTTCGTGCAAGTTCAAGGGTTGGGGGTCACACGGCGATCAATTCCAAGCCTCAGGTTCAAAACCAGGGTGGGGACATGACTCCAACAGATGCCTGCATAATTAAAGGGGCGTCTGGGATATTGGGCCATGAGCATTTCGGCACGATGAAGGACCAGTACGAATTGCGGAAGCCCCACGTACTACTTGCAAACACGGCGACTTCTCCACCACTGCCTCCATGGCCATGCAGAAAACACCTGGTGCACGCAACTGTCTCAAAATGTCGCTTCTGGGCCCTAAGCCCTACGCCCTAAACCTTTTTTTTTGAATCTCCACGGCCAAGGTAGCTTCCTTCCCGAAATCTTCAAATCACCCACCCTCCTCCTCTGGGACATTTTCAGGTGGGTAGTTACCGTTATAGGAGCCTGATAGAAGGTCTATATACCTTATAGAAGCCTTATAGGAGCCCTAAGCCTATATACCCTAAACTCCCCACCTGTAGTTTCCTTTAACCTCCTCTTCCCTAAACGCTAAACTCCTAAACCGTGCCTGCAAGTATGCCCAGCCTTTGGAACTTCTGGGCCCGATGCAACAAAGGTTGTCGGGGGTGGGGTGGGGGAGAGGCTTGGGGTTTGGGGTTTGGGGTTTAGGGTTTAGGGTTTAGGGTTTGGGGTTTAGGGTTTAGGGCTAGTGTTTACGAATTAGTGTTTAGGGTTCGGTGATTTAAATTTAGGCTAGGGGCTCAGAGTGAGTTTTTTTTCCGACAACACCTTCAGGAAGGGAATGTGGATCATCGGCCCAGTTCTGCATTGCGGGGGTTAAGGGCCCCTAAAGCGGGAGGGTTTAGGGTTTAGGGGTTTAGGGTTCTGAATCCAGGCCACCTGGTTACATCACAGAGACCTTCGGCAGCTGCGTGTTGTTCGTTCTCGGATGCCAGCATTAGCTAGATTCAGCTCGATGCCACCCCAAACCCCAAGGCCAAAACCCCAAAACCCAGAACCAAAATTTCCTCAAGCGCAAAGCTCAAAACCCCAAACCTGCTAAACCCCGACAACAATAATCTAGGCCACGGCGCCATAGAGGTGCAAAGGCGAACCCCCAGCCGCCGGAACGAAGGGGTTGCAAAACTCAGCCACGAACGACCTGAGAGAACGGGGCTAAACGTGTAGGCTTGCGGTAAGGAGTTTGGTAGGGTTTTGGCTTGGTATGATTCATGGCTTCACTAGCGTGTACCTGAGAGAACAGCACTCAAGGCTTAACCTTTAATAAAGGTTTAAGATCAGGCAGGGTTTATGGCTGCGTTCACATGTACATGAGAGAAAATGGTTGAAGGCGTGTTAGACTGTAGGATGTCGCACTTGAGGGCGTAGAGCGAATGGGGCTTGGTTTTCAAGGTGTCGCCACGGATATGGTCAGGTCCGCTACAACCTGCACCCGCACTCAATCGATCCCCGAAACCGGCAACCCTAAAGCCCACAAAGCAAGCGTGAAGCCTTCAGTTCCTCAAACTTTCAACCAGTTTCCACGATGTTCAGCGTTTGAGAACGGCTGTGTATACACATGTCTATATCCGTTTTTTCACAAACTCAAAGCCACCAAAATGCAACAGCTCCTGCGGCTTAGGGGAAAGAACAGGTGCTGCGTGCTTGTTGTCACTTGCCTGAACCCCTAAACCCTAGACCCTAAACCCTATACCCTAAACCCTACACCCTCAACCCGAAACCCCAATCCCCGCTGAAAAAGCCGCTAGCAGGGAACAAGCTGAGTACCAGCAACGACGATTGACGGTAAAGGGGAGAAGGTTTAGAGTTTAGGGGTTTAGGGATTAGGGGTTTAAGCTTAGGGCTTAAAGTTTAGGGTTTTCTACCTTGTAGAGTCTCCAGACCCTAGACGGGGCGACAACGACCGTTGGAACAGCCTGCAGTTCCTTCAAGTCAATGCCAAGCGTCTTGACAAGAAACCACACAAACGCTTTAGGACTTCAACTGCTGCAGGTTTATCGAGGCTTAGGATAGCTTGGGCTCAGGCCTAGGGCTCTTGGGAATTTGAAAAAGTCATGGTTTGGGGTTTAGGGTTTCGAATCTCTCATGAAGTCGCGACCCTTATGCCAACGACTTGAGACACCTTCGAGCAAGCGCCAAAACCCTAAACCCTAAACCCAGAAGCATTTCGAACAAGCCACCCGTGGATCCAAAGAGGCACTGCCTGCAGCGTCAAGCCAGGAAAGGACATAGGGGGTTGGCAACCCCTAAACCCTAAACCCTAAAAGGTTTAGGGTTTAGGGTTTGTGTACTGATAAGACATGGGGATCGGCATCATGAAAGACCAGGAGTTGAAGCTCCTCATTGTTTTGATTTGCTGCTGAAGCTTCAGTAAGGCATCGGGGGTTGTGAAGCTGAATGCTTGCAGCAGGAAGTAGAAAATACGGCTCCATCTCATCATCATTGTGCCCACTGAGTTTGTGGCAATGCCTGTTCGTGTTGCAGAAGCAACAAGAGCCTCTTCTAACATCTACATCTCGAATCTCTGACAAGCAGGCACCCCGTAGAACCTGCACACAGCCCCTATACCCCTGAAACCAAAACCTGCAAAAACTCTGAGCCATAAGACCTAGATCCAAAACCCATACCTTGAAAGGTAAACCCTTCTATCAGCACGGACGGACTGAGGTGCCGGCCAGCGCCCATGCAACCCTTACCCTAAACCCTAGATCCCGGGACCCAAACCTTGAAAGGTTGCATCCTGGAGAAGAGAGGTGTTCAAGTTCTCTAAAGGGTAATTACCCTTTTTTTACACCTGGACTATGCGTGTACCCTAAACCCTAAACCCTAAACCCTAAATCCCTAAACCCTGAACCCTAAAAGCTGAAGGCTGCAGTCGACAAACGAGTGGAGCATTCAGGTCGGATCTAGTCGGTCGGTGCAGCGAGGATCCAGGACCTCTTTAGATAGAGCGATACACGAAACCCTAGAACAACCCTTATACAACCCTATCCCTACACCCTAAACCCTAAACTCTACGTAAACCCTAGACCCTAAACCCTAAAACCCTAAACCCATAAAAGCCCTACAGCAGCCCTGAATCATTTTTTTGGGGGGGGGTGGAAGGCCTTCTTCTTCATGACCGGTGCGAGCGACAGGTGCTGCGGGAGTGCAGGAGGTCGGCGCTTATGCCGGGAGTTCACGTACCTCGGTGGGGTTTTAGAGTTTACCCATAGGCCCCTAAGTAGTTCCTTTTCATGGTTTACATTTAAAATCCTATAAGGTAATCCCAACAAGGAACTACTTAGGGGCCTATGGGAGGCGTGTCAAGTGTAGTATGCCGGTTGTATTCTACGTACCTTCAGGCCGACGCACCTGTCATGACAGCGGTTTTAAACCCTAAACCCTAAGTCCAGGCTGGCGCCAGAGCTTTTGGAGTCTCTGTTCCGAGGGGCTCCGTGAAGCTTTGTGGTGTTGAGGTTGGGGGTTTATGGGCTTGGGTGTCAAGAGGTTTAGGGGTTTGGCGGTTTAGGGGTTTAGGGTCTCGTGGTTGTTGCTCCTACAAGTAAACCCTAAACTTCAACACCCCTCAACCCTAAAACCCTTTGGGTTTGCGGAATAATGTAGGAACCTGATCAAAAAAGCTAAAACCGCTCACGATGCAGCGCCGTTTAGTACGGTTGATGATATAAATCCTGCATTACCCATAATAAGGAATATACCATAATTCCCATAGAATCCTTAAGGTAATGCAGGATTTATATCATTAACAGTATCACCCCAACCCGGGGCCCGAATAAACGCACCAGGGTTTAGAGCAGCATGTGGCCTCTGAACGAGTATTGGATGCTGGGCAACACGCATTTTGGACGATTCCTCTGGCTCACGAGACTGCAACGTCAGAAATTGCAGACCAAACTTGACACAACAGCCCTGTCGCTGCTTTATCTGACCGATGGGTACACCCTACATCTTCACCACAAGCCCCCAAAACAAAAGTAAGGCGGCGGGCAGCCCTCAGCCTGAACCCTTAAACCCTAAACCCCAGACCTTCAGGCACGATCATCAGCAAGACGGTTGATGATATAAACCCTGCATGACCCTTGACAAGGAATATACCATAATTCCCATAGTTGAGGGTCCTGAAGGTAATGCAGGTTTATATCATCAACAGTATGATCATCATGCAAGGCACTGATCCTCAATGGCCTTTGCATTCAGCACACCTGGGAGGGTAGAGATAACAGGATTGAGGCTTGCCGGCCGATGCAGGCTGAGGATGACGGTTTAGGGTTTAGGGTTTAGGGGTTTAGGGTTTAGGGGTGAGAAAGGGCCTGAGTAGTTAGAGTAGGACTTTGGGGCATATGATAACCTAACTCTAATAAGAAGGTCCAAGGAATAGTACTGAGAATGATAATAATGCAAGTATGGGTAACTGCTCAGGCAATAGTAGGCAGATTTGCTCTGAAGCCTGTCACGAAGACTTCAGCCATGACGGTTGAAAGAAACCCTTTAAGGAACCCTTCAGAGAAGCCTATGAACCCCTGGGGCGACAAAGGGGTGCAGTCGAGATCAGACGAAGCGCTATTTCGGAAGATGGCTTTTCGGAGCTTCGCGCCCCCCGGCATGGCCCGAATGCTGCTGCTGGCAAAGAGGAGAAAGCCTGCAAGCAGAGCTTTTTTGGGTTTAGGGGCTTGGGGGTTTAGG